ACTTTGCGCATTGGAATACAAGCATTTTAGTTTTTTTTCCTTTGATAAGCCGGCTATGACGCCGCCTTTGCCAATTGTCTCGGCTGTGGCGACATACGCACGGGCCGTGTCCATATGAAGCGGGACGGTCGCTCGATTATGCAGTTGTTGTAGATAACCAGGCCTTGTTCGCCATTCGTTTGTCGCAGCCTTAGCTCCTGAACTAACTGTCGGCGTTTTATCCGCTCCGGTGGTGTGTAATCCGGCTGAAAAAAAACTCCTTGGTGGGAATATTTTAACCTAAAACGTCTTGAGAGGATAAGATCAACATGCTCTTTGCAACTCAGAACAATTTTAAGGGGCCTAGGATGCGGTGGAATAGCGGGTTCAGTAGAGCGCTTTCCGAGTCTGAAGGCTTTCAACACGGAAATTTCTTCATCGGGTTGAAGCAGTGTGTTTAGAAGACCTTGGAACAAGCCGAGATCAGCTAATACGCGTTCTTTAGGTGTATCTGCTTGAGGCTCCTGAAGTCCCTGTATTACTAAGCACTGTTCTCGGAGCGGCCGGTCTTGGTTGCGTGATGTTTGTGACTTGGGAGTTCCTGGGGAACCATTCATGATGACATTCTGGTTGCCATCCACTCCAGGGATCTCTTCTGCAGCTAATGGTTTCGTGTTTGGGGCAATACTGCTCCTGTCTTTTATGTCAATACAGAGGATATTCGCATTTGCCGCGTCTGTGTCTACGCTGGCGCTGGAGGTTTCTGTCGATTGCTCAGACGAGCTCTGCTTTTCCACCCCAGTAAGTTCCTTTCTCCGGGTACTCCGAAGTCGTCCGATTACCGTCTCTCTCTTCTCAGTCATCAGTCCCCTTTGATTTAACTGCTTCTTTTGATGTGACCTCAGTTGCATGTGAACGGTCTGAGTCTTATTATTAATTCCTTGGTTCTCCTCGGTCACATTGCGGGGGCCAGTGACCGTCTGCTTTCTGCTCTTCTGCGGCGGATTAATATCATGCCTTGTCATATTCTCCGCGATTTCCTCTGAGGTTTCCGTCCATGCAGTAGTCTTTTCTATGTCGAATCCTTTTACCTTCTTCTGTGGTGGAGATCGGACAGCTTCTACTCTGCCAGTGAGCTGGTCATTGTTCTTCAGCTGGGTAGTTCTCAATGATGAGAGTGTACTGCCATTATCACTTCGCAACTTAGTTTGCGATTTTGGAGTGTCGTTTATCATCGCTCTTGGTGAGGGTGAGGCTGTATGTTCATGTTTCCGTTTACCTTTTCTCTTAGCACTCTGTTTATTTCTGCAGCCAGCGATCTCCTGAAACGGTGATCCCTCTACTAGTGGGTTGCTGTTAGTCAACTCTGTCAGTTTCGAAACTATCTGTTGGCTACTGCTGAGTTCATCAATTGACTTGAATTTATCATACTTTAGTAACAATGCAATGAGATCTATAAGGAGGTTCATGTTCGTCTCCAACGACGTAATGTTTAACGCGAGATCTCGACAATATTTACACCGCGAACCACAATTTGAAGGTTCATCATCTGGTAGAAAATCTTGTGTAGGCGTGGCGAATTTCCCGGGATAATTTGCGTTGCGGGCCACCTCCGTCCTGTTTTGAACCACTTCTGGCGTACTGCGTTCGTTA